AGAGCAGAGCAGAGCAGAGCAGAGCAGAGCAGAGCAGAGCAGAGTAGAGTAGAGTAGAGTAGAGTAGAGTAGAGTAGAATAGAATAGAATAGTTTATTAGCCAAGTGTGATTGGACACACAAGGAATTTGTCTTTGGTGCATAGGCTCTCAGCGTACATAAAAGAAAAAAATACATTCATCAAGAATCATAAGCTACAACACTTAGTGATAGTCATAGGCTACTAATAAGCAATCAAATTATAATAGGAAACAAATCATTGGATTTTTAAATTATTGGATTTTTTTCCAAAGAAACTCCAAAGTATGTGCTTCCTGATTATTAAAAGTGCAAATTCAGTGTCAATGATTCCTGACTATTTAAAATATAGTCTAAGACAATTTAAAAAAAGAATCCACACAGAATAAAACTATTTTAAAAAATCCTATGCACAATACATAAAATATTGTTTTAAAATACATTAAAAAATAAAAGAAAAAACCCCGGCTCACTTACCAGTAGGCAGATCACAAGGTAGGAAAAGGATAGATTAAAAAAATAAGAGGGGATCATACGCCCCCACCTACCCACTCCCAATCCCATCCGACAGAAGGAGACAAGAGAAGAGCAGTGGAGAGAAGGAAATCTCCTCCATCCCCCCCCGCCTCTTCCAAATTATACACACAGACACTGCCCTCCCCATCCCGCAGCCCCAATTCCACTTTTTTTTTACCAGTGTCCTTTTTAAACCAGGACTTTTTGAACACGCAGCGGGACACGGGACAAATTTTGAAAAATCGTGACTGTCCCGCCAAAAGCGGGACGTATGGTCACCTTACAAAAGGCAAACACTATTCCAGTATAAGAACCTTATCCTATCTATGAAACATGATGGGGGGCAGTATCATGGTTTGGATCTGCTTTTCTGCCTCTTGAGGACTACAAGATATCAATGGATTGGGATGGGAACCATGAACTCTGAATTGTACCAGAAAATTCTACAGGAAAATGTCAGGGTATTTGGTATGAACTGAAGCTGAAAGTGGGTCATGCAGCAAGACAACAACCTTAAATAGGTAAGTTTTACAACCAAAGAATGATTGAAATAGAAGAAATAAATATTTTGGAAAGGCCAAGTCAAAATTCTGACTTTAAACCTAGAACTGACCTGAAGGCGGCAATTCATGTGAGGAAGCTCACCAACATCCTGAAGTTAAAGCTGCTATATGTAAGGAGGAATGGACTAGAATTCCTCCAAGCCAATGCACAGGACTGATTAACAGTAAACAGAAATGTTTAGCTGCAGGAGAGCACACTAGTAACTGAAAGCAAAAGTTCACATACTTTTGCCACACATAAATATGTAGCTTTGGATAATTTCCCTCAAAGAATAAATGAATAAGTTTAATGGTTTTGACTCATTTGTTTAATTACATCCTCTTTAGTTGTAGGTCTTGCACAAAGAACAGATCATGTTTTAGATTATGATGCTGAAATTTTGAAAATTAAAAACAATTCACAAACTTTTAAGTACTGTATGCTATTTTGCTGTTTTGTTTCTCTTACAAATGCACTTTAAATTATCAGTACTTTCAATTGTTTTAATCATTATTTTTATATTACAAGTATCCCTACATATGAATTTGGAGGCATATAGAGATAAATTATACATTTAAAGCTGGGAAATACAGTTTATTTTTCTATATAGCAGTCCTATATTGCCCACTGAATTTATATACTAAACATTTTTGTTAATATAATTACACTGAATGAATAAATAGAATTACTTATAAATGCAGTAAATAAATGGCACATTTTAGTCTATAAAATTGCACTGGTGACTATGAGCTTTCCTTTAAATAACTGACATTTTAAAAAGAGATTAAAAACTAAGGGTGGTATACTCTAAATTGGAAGGAAATTCCTTTCTTTCCACGGTACTTACAACCCCAATGGGAAAAGCTAAGACAGCCATCATCCAGTCACGGAGGGAGATGAGTTTTCTTAGTTGCCTTTCTTGTTCTTGGCTGTCATTCCCTTTAGTCAGAAGGCTGGAAAGGTCAGTCAGTACACAGATCCCAAAAAAGACTGCTTGAACAACCTGCATTAGAAACATAAACATTGAAACATGAATGTTTCAGTCTCAATAATATCAATTTTAGCTGCAGATCCTGCCTGGTGATGGTGACATTTGGCAGCAGTGAATTTATTGAGCTTTTTAAAATGCTCAGTCTAGATATTGTGCAGGCTTACTCTGAAGCCTTGCTTCATAAAAAATAGGAGGAACTGTAGTCTTTACTGTCCACAGTAAGCCTGGCTTAATAATCAAACACTGTTTCTTAACATGCAATGAAAATGTATTAGTCTCATTTTCTGCTCTACCAAGTGTGAGTGCATTTCTTTATACAGTGATGAAAGGGCTGCTTAGCAAGCATGGAAGAGTAGACAGGATATGTGCATTTATCCTGAACTCTTCCTCTTCAATTATGGTATTAATGCCAATTCTGAGGACAAGGGGCAGTCTGGCATCATTGTGAAAGAATAATGTCTGTTGCTGTGGTTGTTTTTCTCTCTTGATGCACCAATGTTTTATTTCTGGTCCCCACTGTCAACAACATATTTGCACTTTTGCCATATATGAAAAAAACCATAAAAATCACCTTGACATGTACATAAGCAACCATCACCTTTTATTTTAAAAAGCTCTAAATTATATGCTAGCTGCTGTTTCTTCCAAATTGTCTGTATAAAATCTGTCCTTATTACTTTCCATGTCCTGTTTACAAGAAACATGACGATCACATTTCACATTATCTTTTCTCAAGTTTAATTTTGCTTGATTCCTATTCAGCATATACAATTATTTTGAATTAAATATATTTTATATTACACACAATATTAGAGTTGTGATTAGTGATATATCCTAGGACATTGGCCATCTGTCAAACATCTATTAATACTAGAAGCTAGGTAAGCAACTTTCCTTGTTGAGCAAGGAAAGAAACATTTATTGCAGATATTTGTACTAAGTTGTACTTATGGATTAAGTTGACAATATCATAAAAACTCTATCATGTTTTAAAATAAATAGTTCACTCAACCAAAAGAGAATGATTTAGAGAAGTCTTTCTCTGATAAGTAGCAGACAAATTATTTATGTGAAAATTCTAAAATATGTACAATATATCACATGGTCTAAAGCAAAGTGGCTTTCCTAATTAAGTAAGATGAAGGCAAGATCTTGCCCTATTAGGATACCTCTGTGACATGAGCTTTGACTGGTCATCCCTAATTAATCCAGTAATTTTTGAAAATACTGTTTCCAGCAAGATTTCTCTTTGAAGTGCTTTAAATTTATTATTTTTGTCCATCAAATACGTTTAATTTTTGTTTTTGTTATCTCTGAATTTTAGATCCATACTTTGTATATCATCCAGAAATAATTTTTATGTATATATTTAATTAGCCAAACTGGAAAAAAATGCAAAATACAGTACTAAATAATTTGGACTCTTCTGACAAAATTCATCTATGTCCCCAATTCTATAATATCAGAATGAATAGAACTGAATAGGAAAAGTATACAATACTATTAAAATGATTCAATTTAAAAACAAACTAAACTGAAGTTTCCATGAGGAAATCCTAGAAAAAAAATCATTTGGTTTTTTTTATAGTTTTAGAAACAAATCTACATACAGAGGCAAACTTAATGCAGAACGACATGAAACATGAACCCAAATGACTCTCAATCCAGTTTTTTAAAAATGCAAGCATTTTTGCATAGTAGATAATACTGTACTTCTCCTTAACAAACTTCAGGTTTGTTTGTCTGTTTATAGCCTGCCTTTATTATTTTTAAAAATAACTAAAGGTGACAAACAGGTCCAATGCACCTTTCTCCTCCTATTATCCCCACAAGAATCCCCTCCCTGTTTTTGAGTGCAATAGGCCAGAGAATATGGAGGTCTCAAGAAACCAAAAAGACAGAGGAAGAATTATCTCTGAGAAAAGAAAGATAAATAAACTGGAAAGGGAATTAAGTGATATAATATATAGTATATTCCCACCATCTAGTAGCAATCTTATTAGTACTATTTTGTAAATTATCATCAACTTAAATATCTACATATATATATGGAAAACAAAGTATTGTAATTGATCATAAGAATATTAATTAATAACAGTGATAATATAGAATAGTTGGGCCATTCATTTTCTTTCACCTCTAGGAAGCGGCAATGACAAACCCTTTCAAAAATTGTGCTAAGAGAACTGCAAGGGCTTTTCCAGACAATCACTAAAAGTTAAGAATAATTCCAACCTACATTTATTGGTCAATACAATTTACACTTCTTTGAAAAAGTATGTAAAATTGGTCTATCCTGTTGGGAAACATTATTCCATCAAAGAATACAATTTATTGGACATTAAACTCTACAGAAAAGCCCAGTCTGATACTTCCTTCATCATGCATTTGTTTTGTGCCCTAAGCATTTATGAAGGCTTCCAATGTATTGTTAGAATATTAAAAAATAAGGTACAATAAAGTTTCCTCTGATCTGGCTTGACTCCCTGTGACTTCATTGAGAGATTCATGTAATTTTATCTGTAATGATTTGGAAGTGATTTGCCATAACTTTCTACTGGGATGTATTTTTGATTTCCACTCTACCCACAGCTCTGATACTATCTGTAGGTCACCTAAATATCAGCTAGTCTCGATACTACTTAGCCTCCAAGCCTAGACAAGGTCAAATATGTGCTGTCACCAATTGAGAAAGCAAAAAGTTATATTTATGACATGTAGTTATTTTCCGCCTTTTTTCTAAACAATTTAACACAATTTAACATGGATCACTTTCTCAGCAAGAGACTATATTATGTCTAACCTCAAATAATTGAAAAGAAGATATGACATCAATACAAGGCCATCCTGGTCACCTGGAAGTTTTTTTTCCCATTCTTGAAAAGATAGACATAATGCTGAGAAAGGGATTTATTTGTTTATTTATCCATTTTATTTATATAAGCTGGCCAACTCACATATATGACTCTGGGCAACTCACACACTTAAAAATAGAAAACAATAAATAGTTACAAATAAATAACTGAAATAAAAACCTTCAAAAACCGATTCAAACAAGATTAGGTCATATTTTTGCATAAAGATTGAAAATTCAAACTTTTAAATATCACTGTAGATCAACTACCCAAACCTTGAGTCTCTGTGATGCAAAAGATAGAGCTTAATTTTAATATTGAACTTTGGGTCAATTCTTTGCTTTTTTATTTATACCCATATTCAACCCTACTATACCCAAGATTGGAGATAGATCATTTGAGGAGGCAGACTAAAACACTGGAGTTATACTTGTCACTTTTAAATCTATCAAGAAAAGTCATGAATCCCTGTTATGACTTCTGATTCTCAGATCTTTAGGGGAAAGACACTTAATTTTAGTGGGACCTTCTAAACTGGAAGATGGTATCTTGCTCTCATACAGTAAAAAAAATGAACAAAAACTTTCTACTCTCACAATTTTAACCCTCTAGCAGAATTCTCCAGCACTACACATAAGGAAAAATATGCATTTGTTGTTTGGGGATGGTTATATAGGTGTTCCATTTCTATTTCTAAAATGTAATGTTCTGACTAGGGGGCACCCTAACAGCAAAGCACAAAACAGGAAGTCGATCAACCAACCAGCATGCAGGAAGTGCACCTTTGCACAACGTGCAGTTGGGATTTGGGAAGTGTTTGCGTCAGCCCATCTGCAGCTGTCTGCAACCTACAATTATCCAACAACTCTTTTGCAATGTAAATATGCAGTGACAGCTATGGGCAGTTGTGGGCAACTCAAATTCAACCTTTAGACTACAAAATGAGGCAAGATTCTTTAAAATTTCAGGTAGTTCTTCCAAAATGAGCAGAGCTAACTATGGCAGGATAAATAATAGTTCAAGTACTTTAGTGTGGCTGGAATAATATTTTTATGTGTTCCTAGTAGGAGAAAAAGCGACACAGTGGCTCAGTGGCTAAAACGCTGAGCTTGTCAATCAGAAAGGTCAGCAGTTCGGTGGTTCAAATCCCTAGCACCGTGAACTCGTTACTTGTCCCAGTTTCTGCCAACCTAGCAGTTCGAAAGCACATAAAAATGCAAGTAGAAAAATAGGGATCACCTTTGGTGGGAAGGTAACAGCATTCTGTGCACTTCGGCATTTAGTCATGCCGACCACATGACCACAGAGGTCTTCGGACAGCGCTGGCTCTTCAGCTTTGAAACGGAGATGAGCACCACTCCCTAGAGTCAGGAACAACTAGCACATATTTGCAAGGGGAACCTTTACCTTTACCTTACTAGGAGAAAGCTTCGGCTAGTAATAAATGGGTACACTGGGTGCCGTAACAAAAAAAATCTTACCCAGCACTTAGAAAACTTGCACTATGAACGAAGTTTCCAATTGTCAACTGCAAGAGGCCACGTTGCTTGGATTCACACATATATTATGCCATTACAACGTCCTAGGTCCTTAGAAAGAGACATCCTAGGTCCTTGGGAAGAACTGATGCGCGGGAAAGCTAACACCAGCTAAAGAACTGGTAAACTGTGACTTTGCATTAATAATAATATAATAATATAATAAAATAATAATCAAACATAGTTAGATGTAAGTGACATTTTAATTTGGATGGTCACGAAATATGAGGCAATTCTAAAGAAAAGAAACTAGCCAACCTTTTTAAATTGATGAACTGCTTCTTGGAAAGCACTTTGCTTGTGATATACGAAATGCACAATATCTCAAAGGCGTTTTTTTCAAGAGACAATTGGATTTTCTGGTTTCTCCTTTTCCTAATGTACAATAATGTCATTCATTGGGGTTGCTATCATCTCAGCAGCTACCTATAATTCTCTTTCTCCTTACAGAGTTGCAGATATCATTTCTGGAGAAGTGCCTCGTATCTCTATTTCTATGTGTGGGGGAGCCAATAATCCTAATATATTTCACTCTCTTCCCTAGCACTTGGTCATGTGCGTAGTCAATAAACAGGCATCTCCAAATGACAGCGTTGCGACCGCGGTGCCTTTTTCTTCTTCCTTTAAAAACGACGGTGCGAATGAACAGCGTCTTCCTTCACACAGCACCTCCCCTTCTGGCGTCCCCTTGAAAGCGCTGCCCGCGTCACCAGTCCTTCCGCGCAAAAGAGGCCTCGTCCCCGGGGCAAAATTTTTAGCCGGGTGAACGCAGCCACTCTCCTTGTCCGGGATACGGGATCGCATCCTTCACATCCCGAGGAAGAAGAGGCGGTGGCGGGACTTACAAGGTGACTTACCAGGTTAATGAAGGTCAGAAATTTCCAGCTGCCTCCATAGGTCTGGTGCGCTGGCATGTCAATGGCTTTGTAATTGCACAGGATGGAAAAATAGGAGAGGAGGATGGCGACCCGCAGCACCTGCCCGGGCACAAGCGCCATGTTGTGTGTCTTCTTCCACACACACACCCACTCCCCAGTTAAGGCCTGAGCGCCGAACGAAAGCGGGCGGCTAAAAACGACGGGCGCGCGCTTCGTTCGCGGTTCAGGGCGTGTGCGCGCGCGCCGTCAGCAGGCGTCGAGCTGGGGAAGCGGAGCGCGAGCGAAAAAGTCCGCGTGCCGTTCGGCGCCGCTCAAGTGTTCCCCGCTTGAGGGAGATGAAAGCAACGCGAGCGGAGGCGTAGACTTCTGGGGTGTAGTAGATCCACCCACAGTGCCCCACTTCCGGGGTGATTTTGGACATGGATTTTTAAACATGGCGTTTAATATTGCCCAAGAGAAAGAAAGAGAATTGCCCATAGGAAACAGGGAAGACTTGGACGGCACCTGGGCGCCAAGGTGCTTGCCCCCTCTTCTGCCGGCAGGCAACAATGCAAAGTTGCAGGAAGGTTAAAAAAAAGAAAAGAATGCGTCCGTAGTTTCCATCATTACCGTCCACTTTGCATTTGCAGGGTAACACAGAAGGAGCTTCGGAAGGTTTAAGTTTAAAGTACGCGTCGTTGTTGTGCTCGAGACCTACGCTCGGCTTTCACTTTTCCATGTAAATAGAGAAATAAAACCACAACTTCCGCCAGCATAAGGGGCTGATGTCCTCAGCCTGATCGGAGTCATTGAAAGTGGCAGAGCATTTTCATTTATTTAAAAGCTAAACGCACCTACACCCACACAACTATGTTGCATTGCATTATCAATTGCAAGAACATCTTTTTTTCTTTTTCCAGAGAAATTAGGTTGTCCGTTTATAGCTCGACTAAATTTCTGGGGTGTTTTTTAAAGATTTTTCATAGGGAGAGCGCACTTACACGCACCTCACATTTAAGTATGCGTTCACTGTTCAAAGACCATCCCTGTCCTACTGTCTCCATTTATTCGTACCCATTTACTGTTCATATTTATGTTTATACTTACCGTATAAGCTGTTATCTTTTACATGTTTGACAAAATAAATAAATAAATAAATAAATAAATAAATAAATAAATAAATAAATGTGGACGGTGATGTTGATTGCTAGACTCGGAAACATTCTGAGTCACTTTCTCAGTCTGATTGTCTTCTTACATTATTCCCAACCTGGGATTATTCTAACGCACATATTCATCTCAACCCTCCCTCCCCATTCTTGTTTTCCACAAAGCTGCTAAAATAAAAAATCAGTTAATGGAATATAAAGTACTTCAAAATTCCCCCAGGGGAAGAAGGCGGGGCTTAGCAGTGAGAAGACAAGCTTTCAGGCTATTCCTGAAATTCCTCTATTTCGAAGCATTTGGACGGTCCCTTTTTGGACCCAAGCTGTCCCGGAGAGACAGTGAAAGGTAGGAGGAGATCCAGTGGTCCCAGAGACATTCGCAAAGTCTCTGGGGAATTGGAAAATAACCTCCTTTGCCAGTGACTTCCAGATTAGCCATAAGGCTAATTGAAACTGCAGGCAGCCCCAAAGAATGACGAAAGTGTTTTCAACTGGTAAGATTATTTTATTACTCAGAGATAAACAGTCCGCCTAAAAATTCAAGCTAATTTAAATTAATGAACAGAAGAATCTAGCGGCGATCCTGATTTTTTTATTGGTTTCTGGACGGTGGTTATTCTACTTTTTAAATGTTTTAAATGTTATTCACACGGACAAAGGATAGATTGCTCCAATATCTCCTCTGATCTTCTGCAAGCGGGCTGTAAACCAATTTACTATAATTTGGTTGTTTACAACTTGACACTTTTATTGCTTGGCTGTATTGGTCTAAGATATGATAAGATTGCATAGCCCCCAGCCTGCTCTTATTTGCAAAATACTTCAGAGCTCTCAAGAAAAAATACTAACTGCGTATAAACATGGCGTCTATTCAAGCCTCTATTCAAATGATTTTTTTCAGCGCTACAGAAATTATCTGCTACACAGGCTAG